GAACTATAGGTGCAACTACTTAGAACTATAAGTGCAACTAAGTATTGATGCTCAGTGTAAATTTTTACTTGCACCTATAATACATTTTACATGCACTTGTAATACAAGTTACTTGCACTTCGATGTTCAATTATTTACGAAAATGCCACCGTATTTTTTAAAAAAATCAGTGTTTCTCATCCATTAGATCTGGACACGTGGACGAACAGAATCCATTCTTATTTCGCGCCTGGGCGAGCCGTTCGCACCTGAGTGCAAGTCTATATATATATACAAAAATAACGAAATCCATCATATACAGTGAACTTCATAATATAAACTGTGAAGCAATTTCTTCAATAAATCCATCACATCATCCTCATTTTTTTTTATCCAAATTCAACGAAATTAAAGTCAAAACGTGCGTCGAGATGACCCCGAGGTACCGAGCCACAAGGGCCCGTGACACCTAGCCCAAAACGACACGCAGCTGAGCCACAAGGGCCCGACCATTGCACAAAATCTTCTCAGAACAATACTCAGGGACCTGGGGCGGGACTCCTCATGAGCTGCCCCATGAAGGCCGTTACATGGCCGGGCCTAGGCAACGACCCTCTCCTAGGGTCGTGCCTTAGGCCCGGTTGGCCCCGGCTCTAGCCAGCGGCCCTCCTGATGGGCCGTGGCTAGGGCTGTTACTCTGATTTGGTGCACACTGTGTGTGCACCAGATAGATAAAATCATCTGCAAAACACATTTCAAGCATGTCCAAAACATCCAAAACATTATCAACACTTCAAAGACAAATACTAGATCACTTCCAAGCTCAAACACAACAAAAAAAATCGACCATTTCTACTCAAAATAATAGGCTTCACAGAGCCAAATTTCAAAGAGAGGGTCCATGGGGTTATACCTTTGTAGACCTCTTCTTCTTGTTTGGATCTCTTCTTCCTCTCAACCTAGTTAGCACCTTCTTCACCACTGTGTTGTTCTTTCTTCTCTTGGCAGACAAATTTTGCGTGAGGCAAAGAAAGAAATCAGGGAACAACTAGGGAATATTGAGGCTTTTATAGGGTCCAAAACCCTAGGTAGATCATCAATGATTGGTGGAGGACAAAGTGATAATTTGGTGGTTGTCTTAGAAATATCTGTCAAGAGGAGAAAATGCTTTTGGTCCACCTTGCAACATGGACTATAGACTAGATAGGTGAGTTTTAAATAGTTTGGGATCAAAATGTATTTTTCCAAATATGATTTCCAAACAAACACTTGGTTCAGATTTCTCCCGGTCTCACTCAGATTGGTTTCTCAGTTTAAAACTTGGTACGCGAAGTACCCAAAAATTTAGGATTTTTGAATAAAAAGAAGTTTTGGTGTTGAATTAATTTAAAATGTGTCCAAAATAATTTTATTCAAACACCACTTGATCGCAAAATTTTTTAATGGAGTGAAAATGGCTATTTTGAAATTTCTTAAAATTGGATTTATGAAATTAAATTTTGGGTTGTTACACTTTCCTCAAGCAAAACCTATGCCCAAGCTTTTCCCCAAGCAAAACCTATGCCCAAAGAATTCCCCTTTCACAAACTTCTGCCCAAACATTTAATGCAACAATAAATGCCTAGAGATTTGCAAGGCAAAGAATGAAAGTCTACTCCTGCAGCTTTTCCCTTACTCAAACCTATGCCCAAGCAAACCTCATCCCATACATTTACTCCTCCAAAACCTTTGCCCTAGGTTTTGCTACTCTAAACCTCTACCCATTTCCACATTTGACTTTAATAGAGTTAATACCTCCAATGGTCCTCCGAGTATTAGGGTATTACCAGGTGTGGTCCTCCGAGTATTAGGGTATTACCAGGTGTGATCCTCCGAGTTTAAAGCGACCATGAGACGTCCTCCGAGTTTTAAAAAATAACCACATGTGGTCCTCCGTTAGGATTGGTGTCAAATGGGCGTTAAGTGTGAGGGCAAACTAGTCATTTCTCGCATGAGTTAATACCTCCAATTGTCCTCTGAGTATTAGGTATTACCAGGTGTGGTCTCCCGACTTTAAAATGACCACTAGATGTCCTACTAGTTTAAAATAATTACCACCCATGGTCCTCAGTTAGGTTTGTTGTCAAAAGGGCGTTAAGGCTGAGGACGAAGTTGTCTTTTCACCTATATTTATTTCTCTTTCGTTCATAACAATGGTATGTCTGCAACATTTTCCCCCAGATGCTTCTTCAAATCCTCCACCATCGCCTTCACGTCCAGTTTCCTGGTCACTGTCACTAGATCATTTTCTGTATCTACTTTCACCATTTTTTCTTAATCAAGCATACCGCATTCATGGAGTAAAAAAGAAAAGTGGGGTACATGTATAGGGAAACTTTGTGCCCAAGAATCAGCATAGAGAGCTACCCTGGAACATGAACAATGGAGGAAGGGTCATCCCAAGACTCCATCTTTGAGGAGAGAGAGAGCAGTTAATGGTATAATTCATAGGTGGTTCGCCAATCTTCATAGCTGTCCGTTTTCTGAAACCCACGACTTTCGCCATTGACAGCAAGAGGCCAAAGCTTCCTTCGTTGCCATTCTCGCCGAAGCAGAGTCACCTCTTGAGGCGGCATTCTGTGGGTGGAGTGATTCGCAAAACTTGTGAGGAAGAAATATAGGTGAAATGACAACTTTGCCCTCAGACTTAACACCCCTTTGACAGCAAACCTAACAGAGGACCACGGGTGGTAATTTTTTTTTAAAATAGTAGGACGTCTAGTGGTCGTTTTAAAGTCGGGGGACCACACCTGGTAATACCCTAATACTCGGAGGACCATTGGAGGTATTAACTCACTTTAATATTTACAAATCTCCCACTTAAAGTCTTAATGTGGATCTTCATCCTTTTTGCCAATTCCCTGCTGCTTGCATTCCTGTTAGGCCAATTGAGGATCTACACCATGCGAATTTATCGTTGGTAATAGGCTTTGTTAACATATCTGCCAGGTTATCTTTAGTATGAATTTTGTATATCCACACTTCCTTCTTCCACCTTTTCACGAACAAAGTGATACTGAACTCCTATGTGTTTCGTCTTGGAATGAAATGCTGGATTCTTTGTCAAGTACAAAGCGTTCTGACTGTCACAAAATAGAGTCATTTTCTCTAACTTGTGCCTGAGCTCCTCCAATAGCATTTGCAACAATATTGCCTTTTTACTAGCTTGAGTAACCGCTATATATTCTGCTTTCGTCGTTGAAGTTGCCACAATCGATTGCAACTTCGAGACCCAGCTTACTACTCTGCCAGAAAGAGTAAACACATAATCCGTGGTGGATTTATTACAATCAAGATTACCTGCATAATCTGAATCAACATAGCGTTTAATAATAAAGTCTGATCCTCCATAACACAATGCAATATCTGAGGTACCCTTGATATATCTAAGGATCCTCTTCACAGCACTCCAATGCTCTCTATCAGGATTTTCCATGTATCGACTGACCGCTCCCACTGCTTGTGTAATGTCTGGTCTAGTACAGATCATAGCAAACATTAAACTGGCCACTATTGATGCATACCGTACTCGAGACATCTCCATCCTCTCTGCTTCATTGCTATGACTCATACTCAAGGATAACTTGAAATTAATAGAAAGAGGGGTAGAAATTGGCTTACAATCTTGCATGTTGAAGCGCCACAAGATTTTCTTCAGATAATTCTACTGAGAGAGCCAAATCTTCCTATTATTTATGTTTCAGTGAATTTGCATCCCTGGAATCTTGTTTGCTGGTCGCAAGTCCTTCATTTCAAATTCCCTAGCCAGTCGAGTCTTCATTTCCGTGATACTATCATTGTTGGGGCCTACTACCAACATACCGTCAACATACAACAGTAAAATGATAAATTGATTATCGTCAAATCTCTTGTAATATGCACAAGGATTTGAGTTAAATCTGTTGTATCCAAGGCTTAGAATGAAAGAATCAAATCTCTTATACCAATATCTCGGCGCCTGTTTGAGACCGTATAGAGATTTGTTCAACTTGCATCCAAGTCCTCTTTTCCTTCTTCTTCAAAACCTTCTAGTTGGAGCATGTAAATCTCTTTTTCAAGTTCTTCGTGTAGAAACACAGTTTTCATATCCAACTGCTCAAGATACAAGTCAAACACAACACACATCACTAAGACTGCTCGAATGGTTGTATGTCGTACAACAGGAGAAAATTTCTCGTTGAAATCAACTCCTTCTTTCTGAGCAAATCCTTTCACAACTAATTGAGCACGATACCGTTCCACTTGATTATTGCTATCTCGTTTGATCTTACAGACCCATTTATTTCTAATAGCCTTCCTTTCTTGTGGTAATGGGACAAGTTCCCATGTTTTATTCTTATGGAGAGCTTCGATTTCTTCTTTCATAGCCTCACGGTGAGTTAATGGTACACCATCTTCTATTAGTAGACAGTATGCAACATTTACCTCCATAGAATAATCTAAGTGCCAAGCTGGTTGTCTCCTCTCCCGAGTTGATCGTCGAACTTCTGAAGTTGAAGACTCAGCTTGATCTTGTTCATCATGCTCTATTGTTGCTTCAAGGGAAACTGGAATTTCTTCTTCCTTCCTTCCCTCAACTTGTACTGTAGTTGTTACTGGTTTCTCCTTCCCAGTGCTATCACTTTCTTGTACCTTGTCTTTTACAAATACAACATCCCTACTGATGATAACCTTGTGGGCAATGGGATCCCACAGGCGATACCCCTTCACTCCATCAGCATACCCCAAGAAAACACATTTTCTTGGTTTTGGATCAAGTTTTGATGTTTCTTGAGTGTTGTATATCACATATGCCGGACTCCCAAATGTATGTAACTAAGAATAACTAGATGGCTTACCAGTCCACATTTCCATTGGCATTTTTAGAGCAATTGCGGTTGATGGTGATCGATTGATCACATAACAGGCGGTTTTGACTGCTCCAGCCCAAAATGATTTTGCCAAATTTACAGTCCTCAACATTGCCCTTGTTCTTTCCAATAAGGTTCTGTTCATCCGCTCTGCCACTCCATTTTGTTGTGAAGTATATGCCACCGTGAACTGTCGTTTGATACCTTCTTGTAGACAGAATTTATTAAATTCATTATTAGTATATTCTCCTCCATTATCTGACCTCAAACACTTGATTCTTTTCTCGGATTCAAGTTCCACACGCACTTTGAAGGCTTTGAAAACTTCAAATACATCCACCTTCCGCTTGATTAGATACACCAACATCTCCTAGAGTAGTCGTTAATGAAGGATAAAAAATACTTCGCACCTCCTAGGGATATAACTGGTGCTTGCCAAACATCGGAGTGGATTAGCTCCAAGATAACTTTGCTTTTTTGCTTTAGAGCTCTCGAACTTCAATCTATGCTGCTTACCTGTAACACAATGCTCACAAAAAGGTAATGAAACCTTTTTTTAGCCCTGGAAGAAGATGTTGATCCGCAAGAATCTTTAGACCTCGTTCCGACATGTGACCAAGTTTTTGGTGCCACATCATCGTTGGTTCCTCTATAAGATTGTCTGATTCAATAACTGCTTCTCCTTGTACTTGTGTTTCTTCTTTAAGCATGTATAGATTGACTGCTATCTTTTCGGATTTCATCACAACAAGCGCTTCCTTTGTTACTTTGATGATCCCATCTTGAATGTGAATTTTACATTCACGGCAATCTAATTTTTCTAGAGACAATAGATTTTTCTTCAGGCCCTTCACGTGTTGTACCTCTTGGATAGTGCGAACCGTACCATCAATCATTTTTAGTTTAATAGTACCAATACCAGCAATCTCTAAGGCATGATCATCTCCCATGAATTCTGATCCTCCAGAGACAGGTTCATATTCATGAAACCATTGTTTCGGTGAGGTCATATGCCATGTTGCTCCTAAGTTCATGAGCTAGACATCAGCTAGACTTTTCCTGCCTTCAACAATTGTTGCTGCTTCGCCGAATAAAACTTTGCCTCCATCCGATGTATTCACAACACATCCCTGAGCATTTGATGTCTCGGGATTTTTGCCTTTGTCCCCATCCTTCTTGAGCTGCCAGCACTCACTCTTGTAGTGTCCCTTTTTGCCACAGTGAAAACACTTGACATTATCCTTACCCCTCAATTTTGATCTACCTTGGTTGTGACTCCCACTGGAGCAAGGCTCCGTTGTTCTTCCTCTTGTCATTGTCAACGCTTGAGTTTGATGTGAGATTCCAACTTTATCTTCTTTGTTTTTGCGCCGACTTTCTTCTTCAAGAACTGTAGCTGCAATATCATCAAAGACAAGTACATCCTTATTGTTGACTAGATTGATAATGAGTTGATCATATGAATCTGGTAAACTTTGGAGTAAGATTTTAACACGTTCATTCACTTCTATTTTATAACTCAACACATTGAGAGTGTTGATGTGCTTGGTTACTGAGGATGTCTCCATCATCTTGAGAGTGTATAACTTTCTCTTCAAGAAGATTTTGTTATTCAATGATTTGGCCTCATACAAATTTACGAGAGTATCCCATACCTCTTTTGTCGTACCTTTTTCTGTCACACTTGACAAAACTTCATTAGCAAGTGCTAAGTGCAGATTGGCAATAGCGTTGCTATCCATTTCTGTCTACTTGGCATAGTCAGTGAAATTGGCTGGTCTTTCTCCAATTGCTGCTACGCAGTTATCTTTTCTGAGAACTGCTTTCATTCTCATTTTCCACAATGAGAAATTGTTCCCTTTGAACTTTTCAATCTCATACTTTGTCGCCATTGTAAGTGGTGTTCTTGATTCAAATCTTGAACAATATATCTATGAACCAACCTGAGGCTCTAATACCACTTGTTAGGATCGAAACGGTTCACAACACCAAAATACAATAGCAACTTAGATTGGAAATAATGAGAATATTTCTAGTGTAAGATTTAAAATAAATCATACACAGAATAAGGCAATTTGAAGAAGAATTTTCTGTATTGACAAAAGGATATTACAATAGAAATTACAAATATAACTCTCTATTTTCACTCTCTGTATTTTGCTATACTACTCACTGTATCTCGAATGGGATGAATAAATCTGATGGGATGATTTACAATGAAAGGAATTGCCTATTTATAGCAAACCATGTGCCTAGAAATTTCCGAGCAATTAATGCTATTCTTCTCTTGCAAGAAAAAAAAAAAAAAAAAAAACTTAGCCTTGGCTTTTTCCCTTACACAAACCTTAGCCCAAAGTTTTCCCTTTAGGAGAAACCTATGCCCAAGCTTTTCCCCAAGCAAAACCTATGCCTAAGGAATTCCCCTTTCACAAACTTCTGCCCAATCTTTTAATGCAACAATAAATCCCTAGAGATTTGCAAGGCAAAGAATGAAAATCTACTCCTTCAGATTTTCCCCTTACTCAAACCTATGCCCAAGCAAACCTCATCCCATAGATTTACTCCTCCAAAACCTTAGCCCAAGGTTTTGCTATTCTAAACCTCTGCCCATTTTCACATTTGACTTATATTTACAAATGAGTTAATTCCACCAGAGGTCCATTGTCTTTGGTGACAATTCCAAATTTAGTCCCAGACTATCGTTTTTGCCATTTAACATCCCAGGCTATAATATTTTAGACACCTAAGGTCCAAATGTACCCTTTCTTAAAATAAGCTTTTACTAGAAAAGTCATGGGAAGGACCTTAGGTGTCCAAAATATGATAGTTTGGGATGTTAAATGACAAAAACGATAATCTGAGACTAAATTTGGAACTGCCATCAAAGACAAGGGACCTCTGGCGGAATTAACTCTTTACAAATGGTGCAAACAATTGGGGGGTTTGTGTGTATGTGTTGTCGGCTGTGTGCATAACAATGCAATATTACCCGTAGGAGTGCGATAGTTTGTGCAAAGAAATTGAAGTTGGAAACTGGAGGGTGGGGGGGGGGGGGGGGGGGGGGGGTTGTGCGTATGTGATGTTGACAGTGTACACAAACATATAATTGGGCCGTCCAGGAGTGGGGAATTATGTGTAAATAGGTTGAAGTTCGAAATTGGTGAGCGTGAAGTGTGTGCAAATGCGTAATTACATGTATAGATCAGTGTGTATGAACTACATGGTAAGGGTATGCACTGCATTCAGAATGGTAACAAGTTTCACAGACTTGTGTGTAAAAACATTGTATGCATGAACACTTGGCAAAACACGATGTGCAAGTAGAGCGACATGTGGGTGCAACGCACTGTAATATCCCCACGTTATAACCAACCTTAGGTGATTGCAAAAGCAAATTGAATGGTAGAATGTGTATGAAGGGGAGTGGGTATATGAAGAGTATGGTGGGGGGATTGCGTTCTAGTTGTTCGAAGGTACGTGCTAGACTGTATCAACCCTTGTGCAAGTTTGATAACAATGTACGTGTGTCATATATGTCAAATTTTCAAGATCATGAGTGGACTGACAAGTAAGTGCAACGCCCACCAGTTTCGAACATCAATAGTTTTGCACCTACTTTCCCACTCCTAGACGGCCTAATTACACATTTGTGCACACTGCCGGCATCACATACGCACAACCCCCACCCTCCAATTTCCAACTTTAATTTGTTTGCACGCACTATCGCGCTCCTGTGGGCACTATTGCACTATTATGCACATGGCCGAAAATACATACGCACAAGTGCACAACCCCTCAACTCTTCGCACCATTGTCGTTCCAAATATCAAAAGTTGGAAAACATAAATAAATAAACTCACCAGAATTTGTGTCTTCCATTGATGTGTTCTCCGGTACGACCATCATTTTTTGTCTGCGATTGAAATCAGTGTTTTTTTTTTTTTTTTTTTTTTTTTTGTTTTTTTTTTTGGAGACCTACTATATGATTATAATTCCTATAATTATGGAAATGAGTGTTTTTGTGTTTTTGGAGACCTACCATGATTATAATTCTTATAATTATGGAAATTATTGCTTGGCAATTATAATCCAATAAAACAAGAAACCAAATTACTATCTCACCCCTATACATTAATTATTTCATAATTTAATTGGGAAATAGAAACAAATCTTGACTACTAATTTATATTGATTAGATGCTTATGATGCAATCTCATGATCTCATTTACAAGGGTGGTCTCACAAGATATAGGGGATGGTTCTCTCTCTCTCTCTCTCTCTCTCTCTCTCTCTCTCTCTCTCTCTCTCTCACACACACACACACACACACATACACACACACACACACACACAAAAGATATGGTTCATGTGCGAATTGAAGGAACTCCCAGGTGAAAAATGGGGTGAGATCTGATCCGTTGATCATATCTTACCGTGCAAAGATAATATTTGAAAATTATGCACCCATGTGTCTAAACTTACACCTTACGTTCTAAAGTTATGCACCCAACGAAGGAAAATAATGCACCCAAAGAAAAAAGTAAAATTCACTAGAAGATAAACCATGCATGCAAAGAAGGAACAATATGCATCCAAAGAAGGAACAATATGCGCCCAAAGAAGAAATAATATGCACCAAACGAAGGAAAATAATGCACCCAAAGAAAATAGTAAATATTCACTAGAAGATAAATCATGCACACGAAGAAGGAACAATATGCACCAAAACAATCAACAATATGCACCCAAAGAATGAAAATAATGCACCCAAAGAAAAAAGTAAATATTCACTAGAAGATAAACCATGCTCTTGAAGAAGGAACAATAGGCACCCAAATAAGGAAAGTAATTCACCCAAAGAGAAAAGTAAATATTTACTAGAAGATAAACCATACTCTCGAAGAAGGAACAATATGCACTCAAAGAAAAAAAAAAATTGAACTTCCTAATTTAACCCCATTTTTATGATCTCTAACCCTCCGTGCGAACCAACATGGGTACTCCAGGGTATTGGAACCCCGGTGGGTCTATTTGATTAATCCTAAATTAAGAAAGTGTAGCCAACAGGATTCGAACTTGCGTCCTATGAGATAACAACACAAGAACCAACTACCAATGCCACTTAAGATATCATGTATTAGAAGGTAGGATGCTCTATTTACTCGTGTGGAAATCGGAGGCATCCAGGTAATGGGGGAGAAACATGTATGGCCAAGAATGGAGGCAAATTTGAGTTATATATATATATATATATATATATATATATATATATATATATATATATATATATATATATATATATATATATATATATATATATATATATATATAGGGAAGGGATCAGGTGCGGGTGGTGCTTCCCGTGCGGTTGTGCGGGTGGACTCTCATTAAGCATTACACTGGAGCACTTTAAGTACACAATACATGCACATTAAACACACAAACAAAATACATTTAGAACACAAACTCACGTACCTTAAGCACAAAACTCACACATCTTAAGCACAATCCTCACGCACCTTAAACACAAAACTCACGCAGATTAAGCACAAAAATACATGCACCTTAAGCTTTAACAACTCACATTAAGTGTGTGGTACACACTCACGCACATTAAGTACAAAACTCACGCACCTTAAGCACAAGACTCATGCACCTTAAGCACAAAACTCACGCACATTAAGCACAAAACTCATGCGCTTTAAAGTTTCAACAACAACTCACAATAATTACACACTCACGCACTCTAAGCACACAACTCACGCACCTTACACACAAGACTCACTAACCTTAAGTACAAAACTCATGCACATTAAGCACTACACACTAACACACATTAAGCACAAACCTCACGCACCTTAAGCACAAAACTCACGCACATTAAGTACAAAACTCATGCACATTAATCACCCGCACAACCGCACGGGAAGCATTCACCCGCACTGGAACTTAAACATATATATATATATATATATATATATATATAGGGAAGGGTTCATGTGCAGATATAGCTTCCCGTGCGGTTAGATCTGAACCGTTGATCAAATCTAAATCAACGGCTCAAATCAATGAAAATTTAAAAAAAAACACGTGTTTGGAAGAAATCCACGCACCTTAAGTGTTAGATCTTAAGCACAAACTCATGCACATTAAGTACAAAACTCATACACATTAATCACCTGCACAACCGCACGGGAAGCATTCACCCGCACTGGAACTTAAACATATATATATATATATATATATATATATATATATATGTGTGTGTGTGTGTGTGTGTGTGTGTGTGTGTGTGTGTGTGTGCGCGCGCGCTTAATGTGTGTTAGTGTGTAGTGCTTAATGTGCATGAGTTTTGTACTTAAGGTTCGTGAGTCTTGTGTGTATGGTGCGTGAGTTGTGTGCTTAGAGTGCGTGAGTGTGTAATTATTATGAGTTGTTGTTGAAACTTTAAAGCGCATGAGTTTTGTGCTTAATGTGCGTGAGTTTTGTGCTTAAGGTGCATGAGTCTTGTGCTTAAGGTGCGTGAGTTTTGTACTTAATGTGCGTGAGTGTGTACTTAATGTGAGTTGTTAAAACTTAAGGTGCATGTATTTTTGTGCTTAATCTGCGTGAGTTTTGTGTTTAAAGTGCGTGAGGGTTGTGCTTAAGATGCGTGAGTTTTGTAGGTGCGTGGGTTTGTGTTCTTAAGGTGTTTTGTTTGTGTGCTTAATGTGCGTGTGTTTGTGTACTTAAAGTGCGTCAGTTTAATGCTTAGTGTGCGTCCAACCGCACAACCACACGGGAAGCCCCCTCCCACACCTGAACCCTTTCATATATATATATATATATATATATATATATATATATATATATATATATATATATATATATATATATGTTGTGTTAATGCTATGCTACGACACCATTGCCCTTCTTAGCATGCTATCACTAAATCATTTGTGACTTTTTATGAAGTAGCTAACTTATACATTAGACTTAAGATTTATCATGAAGTATACATGTGGATTTTTGAATTGTATTTTTCTAGGTTTTGCGCTAGACTTATGTATTGGTAACGAATTTTGTTTCATTATGTTATTAATGAATTATGGATTATTTATGCTATGAATGAATGTGTGATAAGTATATATATTTTTTGAAGATGTTCTTTTTATTGTTCTATTACTAAGAAGAAAATATGAGGCTTTTGAGTGATTAATAACGTTATTTTTAATATCATTTAAACATATTTGTTGACGGAGGACAAAAAATGATCATGCTACAATAATGCTAGAACAAATGATGATGTTTTGAAAAAAGGAATAAAAGTGGAATAACACATAAATTGATGACCAAGAAAACAAAAAAATAATTAACACTTAGAATTGAATAGACCCAAACACCCTTCTTTTCAATGCCATTTAAACGGTTTTGTTAACGGAGGACAAAAAATAATCATGTCACAATTATACTAGGACTAAAGGTAATTTTTTTTTTTTTAAAAAAGACTAAAATTTGAATGATACATATAAATCTAGGATAAAAATAGAATTAACTCTTTAATAATCATGTCACATTATTTCCTTTTAATTACATAATAATTTTCACTTTAGGATACATTTTCATTGTATTAGACTCTTTTATTTTATTTTTAAAAATTATTTTTTAGTGACATTTCATTCTTTTATTATCCCTGCTAAAGTTGATCAATTCACCAAAAATCAATAAATAGATGGGAATATATTTTCTGTATTTAATGAATAATGTCTGAGAGTACATGGAGCGAATATATAGAGATGCTAGATAGAATCCTAGTCTAACACAAAAAATATAGTCCTAGTCTAATATGAATAATAGAGTCCTAATACCCCCCCTCAAGCACAAGTTTGGTCAGCCAAAATATTGAGCTTGGAACGGAGTAAATTAAAACGTACAAACGAAATAGCTAAGGATATAAACCGTCTCAGCAAGGTTTCCATTTAGGAAAGCATTGTGAATGTCTAACTGTCGAATAGTCCATCCACGGGAAATAGCTAAGGATAAGAGAAGTCGTACCGTAGTCGGTTTAACCACGGGACTAAAAGTCTCAAAGAAATCCTCACCAGCAACCTGATTGAATCCCTTAGCAACTAATCGAGCCTTGTAACGCTCAACCGAACCATCAGCTTTTCTCTTGGTTCTAAATACCCACTTGCAGCCAACCACATTCATACCTGATTTAAAAGGAACGAGCCGCCATGTATTGTTGTGCACCAAGGCATTAAATTCCAAATCCATTGCATCCCGCCATTCGGGAAATTTGACCGCTTGAGTAAAACATGTAGGCTCAGTAGTGACATCAGTGGATAGAGCAACATGATCATGCGGCCTCAAGCTCCGCGTATTCATCCCGTGAGACTGAACGGGTGAGGTAACGGGACGAGATCGACCACGGGGTCGACCTCCCGGCCGAGCAGGTGGCTGGTCCGTGACTGTCCGCTCGGACTCGGTCACGGACGGCTCGGCAGAGGCGGGTTGATCACGGTGCTGGTCGGACCTGACTACGGGCGCGGTAGGATGATCATCAAAGGCCGAGACAGTACTCGGCTTACCACGAGACACAACCGACGCAACACCCCATGGCTCCGGGCGTGGTGCGGGTACCTGCGAGTGAACAGAAGCAACAAAAGGAAAGACAGTCTCATCGAATCGCACATGGCGACAGATAAAAACCTTGTTAGTATTACAGCACGTTTGGTTCACAGAATGAATTTTGAGGTAATAGGAATGCTATTCCATAAGGAATAAAATAGGCAAGGAATAGAATATGATTTGTTTTCTATTATTTGGTTCACGGAATGAATAGACTTTAGGAATTATATTACAGTGTTTGGTTGATTTAAGAAATAGAAATGAAATATTTTTCAAAAGACATAAATAACCTTATAAAAATATGTTATGGTGGCGATGGTGACGGTGGTGGTGGCGGTGGTAGTGGTGGTGCTAGGGTGGTAGTGGTGGTGGTGGCGGTGGCAGTGGTGGGGGCGACGGTGGTGGTGTTGACGGTGACGGTTGTGGTAGTGGTGGTGGGGGCAGCGACGGTTGTGGCGGCGGTGGTGGTGGTGGTGGCGGTGCTGCTGCTGTGTGGTGGTTCTGGTGGCGGTGGCGGCGGTGGCAGTGGTTGTCATGGTGATGGGGGTGGTGGCGGTGACGGTGTTGGTAATGGTGGTGGTGGCGGTGGCAGTGGTGGGGGTGGCGGCGTTGGTGGGGGCGGTGACGGTTGTGGCGGTGGTGGTGGTGGTGGCGGCGGCGGCGATAGTGGTGATGGTAGCGGCGGCGGCAGCGGTGATGGTGGTGGTGGTGGCGGCGGCGGTGATGGTGGTGGTGGCGGTGATGGTGGTGGTGGTGGCGGCGGCGAAGATGGTGGTGGTGGCGGCGATGGTGGTGGCGGCGACGACGGTGGTGAAATAGGATAAATTTATATATATGATTAAAAAATTAGGTTAAAGAAAGGGGTAAAAAAAGAAATAGATTCTAAAATCTATTCCTGAGCGTTCAGTAATAGGCTAATACCAGGGGGGGGGGGGCCCTAGTAATTGCTATTACCTTATTTGAGGTAATAGGCTATTACCAGGAATATTATTCCTGGTAATAGAAATGGTTACCAAACAACGGAATAGGCCTATTACTGGGAATGCTATGCCATTCCCGGCCTATTCCGTGAACCAAACGGGTCATTAGTGTCTAAACAACGATAGCCACGAAAAGATGGGGGATATCCTAAAAAGACACAAGGAGACAACCGAAATTGTAGTTTGTTGCGATTATAGGGACGCAGGTTAAGAAAACATACACCCCAAAACACGCAAGTATGAATAAGAGGGAGGAGACCGATGCAAGAAATAATGAGGAGATTTATCAGATAAGACACGAGTGGACATTTTATTAATGAGATACACAGCAAATTCGAAGGCATAATCCCAGAAACGAGACGGAACAGAGGACTGGGCCATTAGCGCCAGTCTTGTTTCGACAACATGGCGATGCTTGTGTTCTACTCTGCCGTTTTGTTCATGAGTATACGCACAAGACTTCCTGTGACGAATACCCAACGAAGCGAGAGTCGAACCAAGCATTTTGTATTCTCCCCCTAAATCAGACTGAAAAGATAGAATTTTACGAGTGAATGAACGTTCAACAAGTGACCGAAACTTATCAAATATCGCATACAAATCAGACTTAGCCCGCATAGGATTATACCACATGTAACGAGTGTAATTATCCACAAATACTATAAAATATTTAAAGCCATTTGCAGAAAGTATCGGCGCAGGGCACCAAATATCCGAATATATTAATTCTAAAGGATGTGAACTAGTAGATTCAACACGCGATAAAGTAAAACGAGATGACTTGCCAATTGATAAGAGGAACAAATATTGGGCAGATCACTGGGATTAAAAGAACTAAGACTAGACGAGCCTAAAATTTGACGCAAGACCCGAGAGTGTGGATGCCCAAGCCGCATATGCCAAACGAAAGAGGATCGTGCAGCAACAAAAGTAGCAGGAGCCTGACGCGAGGTAGGCCAGGCATATAAACCCCCAGACGCATGCCCCTTAAACAGAGTGTTCCTGGTTGTAATGTCCTTCACAAAGAAACACAAAGGGTGAAACTCGAAAAAGACATTATTTTCTTTAGCAAAACGTTGAACATATAATAACGAAGAAGATAAACCAGGAACATGCAAGACATCAGACATACGAAACGATCTAGAATTAGTGGCTAACGAAGTAGAACCAACAGTAACAATAGGCAAACCTGTACCATTGCCGACCCGAAGTTTCTCCAGACCATCATACGTAGTAGAGGACGTCAATAAGGTGGGATCAGGAGTGGCATGATTTGTGGCCCCAGTGTCGGGAAACCACTGATGAGAGTCATCCATAGAACCTTCAACACCAGAAACGGCGACATTTGCCTGAGGATCCGGATCAGGAGTGAAACGATGCCAACATGTCGTAGCAATATGCCCTTGCTTGTTGCAAAGTTGACATTGAGGGCTCGAGTTGGACCGCCCCCCGTCACGGCCACCGCGGCCGCCACCTCCTCGGTTCTACGGACTGCCACCGCGACCACCGCGTCCTCCGCGGCTCACGGCCAAGGCTGCCGGTGCGCCGAGAGCCGCACCGTCATCCGAACAGATCCATTCCTGCCAAACAAGAAAATCCGCAACCTCCGGGAGGGGAACGGGAGCACCGCGGGCTAGGGTTGCCACCAATGGTCGGAACTCCGGGCGTAAACCGCGAAACACGTATAAGTTCTGATCATCCAACTCAACATGACGACTGGCGAGAGCCAATTCATCAATCAACATCTGGGCACGACCAAGGTAATCAAATATGGAGGAATCACCTTGA